AGTTTGTGGACTTCCTGATAGTAAAGAATTACAATAGTCCAGCCTTGAAGTAACAAATGCATGGACTAGTTTCTCAGCATCCATAGTGTCCATTTTAATTTGCAAATATCTTTTTTTTTCCTGTGATCAGAATTTTTTCCATCAAAGCCATAGAAGCTGAAGTGAGTCGATCAAATCTGTGGCTCATTTTTCCTTCTGTAATTCCAATATTCTAGTGATGAAGACTGATTTTATTTCTTTACTTCTCATCCTTAGAAGATCCACCTTAACAATCAGAGACGTTGGGAACTTGGAGGGAATGTGATTCATTTTTATGTAAAGGTTGTTTTCTCTTGGAGAATAGAGAGCATGGATCAGGACTCCGTTTGATTTGATTAGGTGAACCTCAGCACACGGAGCTCAGGTCACCTATTTGGTCAAATCAGAAACACATTTCTCTCATTCAAACTACCTGCTGATTTTATAAAATCACTTTCAGCATCTGCTCCTGTCTGTAATCAGCCTTTTTACATCAACTTCCCAAATAATCGTTAAAAACAGGAAGTCTAGGAGCTCGTTGTGGACAGAGCATAAAAAAATACCATAATGAGGTTGGAGCAAAATTTCTCTATTTTTTTTATTCAGTTATTAAATAATCTAAAAGCAGCAGTTGAAGTTATAAGGTAGAAAACCTTACACAGTTCTACTATGCTATTATAATCTTTACTTTATATAATCTTATCACCTCTGCCAACAAGGTTATATTTTCATCTCTGTTCGTTTGTCTGTTTGAATAAATCTGCATTGTGAAGGAATCCTAACTTGTACTGTATTAAAACTATTTAGGAAAAACACTGTGAATTAAAAAACCTTTACAGTACAATGTGATGTAGTAGAATTTAACTATAAGTTTAAAATTACATGTTTTTAAATGATAAAAGGTAATTGACTTTAGTGGGCCGGTCTGAGGCGGGAAACTCATTATTTAATCTCACTTTTGCCCCGATGCTCTCTGAAGGTTTTTCTTGTGAGATGTTTTTTTTTTTTTTGTCAGTAATCTACTTTAAGGATGGTTGAGGATTCGACTCTAAAGCTGCAGTTTCACTGCTTACCAACCAGAAACCCCTCAGCCGAATCTAACAGTCTTTAGCTTAGCTTCTACCTAAAAACACCATTTCTGGTTCGTGTGTGTGAGGAAATAAAATGTTAATAATGAAGCATAAATGCTTCCTTAGGGAACTGTGAATAATGTGAAAAAAGTCTGAAGGATTGTATGTGTGTCTATATACCAACCGTTGAGTTGATGTGCTCAAGAGGTACTAAGTAAGTGAAGTCCCAAGGAGTTCCAAAGACTCTATTTTCATAACAGTAAACTTCTACTTGTTCCACATGATCCAAGTTGAATCCTTCGATCGTGATCTTCCTCTTCCCACTGGATGATGAATGCAATAGTTAAAGAAGAAGATTATTAACAACAATGTCAGGATCTCAGAGAGTTTTCCTCATAGGAAATTATTTATCCACATCTAATGAAGACAGATAAAGAATAGGAAATGTTATAAAGTCTATATTGCTGAGCCTTTCCACTGTTTGCAATATGTTAACATTAGTAATAAGTCAAATCTGGAACCTTCAAAAAAGCCAATCATTTTAACTTTTAGATGGATTATTTTAGTGCTTTGGAATACTATAGTCACTGTTTAATATGTTATAAACTGAATGTTTACCTTCTCCAGCTAATGGATGGTGACATGTTTTTACAAGTTGGCGCTGATTGATAGTTGACCTCGGCTTCGCCATGGCAACTCCCATCAGAGAGTAGAACACACACTTTGGCCACAGCTTCATTGGTTCTTTTGGGAATGTGGAAAGTCAGGTTCACCCCATTGTTGTTCCAAACAGGAGATCTAGTTAGAGACCAAGATGATGGTAAAGAGGGAGAAACATTCACACTGGGATCACATCATATCATAGAAAGCTTGAAAAATCAATTTTTTTCCCTCAGCAGGGCTTCCCTCGGCTTCAGTCACATCCCCTCATTGAAGTGGGAGTCAGGTGAGGACAGGTGAGAGGGGAATCTTCTGGATATTGTTCCTAAAAGTGCTTTGTAAGTACTGTAGGTGAAAGGTTCTGTCTAAGTCCACCTCCTCTGTTGAGAGGTGTCTTTTCCAGGCTAACAAAAATGGCTTCCTTAACATCTCATGAAACCATCTGTCTTCCTGAAACAAGTGTCCTTTAGCCTTCAGGTGTAGGTGAACAGCTGAGTCCTGTCCTGAGGAGTTGGCTCTCCTGTTGTGAGCCATGCGCCTGGGTAGCGGTTGCTTGGTCTCTCCAGTGTAAAGTTCTGTGCACTCTTCAGTACACTGAGTGGCGTAAACCATGTTGTCTTATTTCTGGGTGTCTTGTCTTTGGGACAAACCAGTTGCTGGGTTTGAAGTGCACAGGATCCGGTGCTGGATGAAAATCATCCTGAGTTTTTCAGAAACTACAGAAACATCTGGGATAACCCCAGTTCTTCAGGGCTGTCCTAATGTCTCCCTGTTCTCTCATCCTCCCTCTGAGTTGTCTGTCTTCCATGATGTGAATGATGCGCAGTCCAGGAAGGAGAGGCTGTCATGTTTTATATCTTCCCGGGTGAACTTGATGTTTCTGTGGGCTGCGTTGATGTGGTCTGTGAACGTGTTGATATCCTTGGTCCTTATTTTTACCCATGTGTCATCCACGTATCTGAACCACTGCCTGGGTTTTGTTCCCAGGTAGAGCTCTGCTTTCCACTTCTTCCATGTATAAGTTCACCACTATGGGAGACACAGGAGAGCATGTCGCCAGTCCATGCTTCTGCTGGTAGAAATCTTGGTTGAATTAGAATTATGTTGTGATGATGCACAAGTCCAAAAGAACAGATGTGATTAGGGGTTTGATTGCTTCTATCTCGCAGAATGTGGTCTTGAAGTAAACACATCCTTACTGTGGAGACGGCTTCTTTGGTAAGGATGCAAGTAAAAAGAGATGTGACATCATAGGAGACCATGGTCTCATCCGAGTCCAGCCTCAGGTTCTTTATCCTGTAGATAAAGATTTGGTGTGTTGCCAACCAAAGGAGCGAGGATGGAAGCAAGATGTTTGGCAATGTTGTGCCAGAGTTAAAGCTACTGATGATGGACCTGAGAGGAGCTCCTTCCTTGTCTATGTTTAGGAGAATGTTGTTCCAGGGAAGAGCTTCTTCTGGGTACAGCAGGTAGTATAGTCCTGTTGATGGCTTTGTCCTTTTCTAACTGCTGAAGTTAGCTGATGACCATCATCTTGTAGCTGCTGGTGGGGTCTTTCTTCAGTGACTTATAGGTTGCTGTGTCACTGAGGAGGGCTTTAACTTTGGTGTGGTAGTCATCTGTTTAAAGCACAATTGTGCATCTTCCTTTGTCTGCTGGTAGTATGATGGTGTCCTTGTCTTTTTGGAGGGCTTTAGAGCTTCCCTTTCCAGAATGGCCTGGTTTGAAGGGGGAGCCTTTGCACTGGAGAGAGCTGCAGTGACCTTCAGCCTATGTTGTTCAGCTGCTGTGGAGGTCAGTTTGAGGTTTCTAATGGCTGTCTCCATGGCTGTGATGAGGTCCACTGTTGGGATATGTTCAGGGAAAACTGCAAAGTTCAGGCCTATGTCTAAGACCCCCTTTTCAGGCTGGGCGAGGGTCCTGTCAGAAAAAATCTTCAACCTATAATCTGTGAAGTCTTGCTGAGTTGGGTTGGAGTTCCTGCTAGTGGATGTGAGTTCCCCTGAGGTGGTCCGTCTGGACTGGTTATGTTTCTGATGTTCTCTGCATTTGCTATGGTGCTGGTGAAGATTCTCAGACATCTAGGTCATAGAAATAAATAAAAAACTAAGAAAAACAATTCACTGGACTTAGTTTCCATGTTTAAAGACATTTTTCTTCCCATCCAGGAAGCTTTTTGGATGGGTAGGACATTTGGGCTTCTCTGCAAACTTGGTGAACTCATCCATGATGTGCTTGGGAAGTGCTGTGAACAGTCGCTTGCCTGTGTGATCAAGTTCACTTTCAGAATGTCAATGCTGAAATGTATCTGTCTGATGCATTCGTTCAGCAGCTGGTGCTGTGCTTTCAGGAAGATCTTCCAAGCTCTGTGACCTTTCACTGTAGAGCACAAGTGTAAACTCTTGGAGAGGATTTTTGGTGTCTGCATCTTAAGTTGAAATGCAGGTAGTTTCTGTAGTCTGCAAGTTTCCTGGAAAATCTCTCATAATCCGTCACCAGATAAGGGGAGTCCATCCCAAAGTGTGTAGTAACATATCTGTCAAGATTCTAAGTCTTCTAGATCATGGTTAAGCTTGAAAAAGATTCAGTTTAGGCAACTGGACATGGAGTTTTATAGAAGACGTTTCTCCTGTCATCAAAAAGGCTTCTTCAGTTCTAACTAGCGGAGGGGGGCACTGAGATTAATATATTGTAGGTCTAACAAAGAAATAGGAGGGTCAAAACCCCTTTTGAAAACCATCGGTCTTCCTTCGCCAGAACATGGACGTTGTTGTCCTCCAACGAGTGTCCTTTAGCCTTCAGGTGTAGTTGATTAGCTGAGTCCTGTCCTGAGGAGTTGACCCTCCTGTGTTGAGCCGTGAGTCTGTGTTGCTTGGTCTCTCCAATGTACAGGTCTGTGCACTCCTCAATACACTGAAACCACGTAGTCTGTCTTGTTTCTGGGTTTCTTATCATTGGGTTGAACCGGTTTTTGTTTCAGAGTGTTGCTGGGTTTGAAGTGCACAGGGATCCGGTGCTGGTTGAAAATACTTTTCAGTTTTTCAGAGACTCCAGCAACATAGGGAAGGACGATGGTCCTTCTCCCATTTTTTTACCTCTCAGCAGACCTCTTCTTGTTGATCTTTAGAAAAGCCCATCTGGGATAACCACAGTTCTTCGGGGCTGTCCTAATGAGTCCCTGTTCTACCATCATCCCCCTGTTGGTGGTGGGTCTGGTTTCTGCTCGTGTCTGAAGGGGTTCTGATGACGCCTAGTTTGTGTATCAGTGGATTGTGTGAGTCAAAACAGAGGTACTGGTTGGGGTGCATGGGTTTCCTGTATTGTAACAGCATGTTTGGTTAGTATTTTGAAGTCTGACCAAATGAAGATCCCATGTGAAACAGAACTGAGTATATGCTAAGACTTAGAAAACTTTTATTATCATTTTGTATAGACAGGGTGTATAAAAAATGAAATTTTGTTTTTTGCCGCTTTCAGACAGTGAATAAACAGCAGCTTAGCGGTGAAATTTACATTTCAAGGTGATAAGTGCAGCGTTAGAGAGTAACTTACTCCTTTGAAGAACAGTCCATTTCTGCCTGAACCTTTACTCCAATCACATCTTCAAGGTCAGTTCCAGTCAGCAGAGCATTGTTTTTGCCAAAGTAAGATACAGTACTGGGAAAGATGGAGGTTATCTTTGGCCTCTGTCAGAAAACACAAAAATAAATCCA